TTCTAGCCACTGAGGGCACTCGTGGCCGTCGTGTCTCCTGTCTCCACTCTGACCGTGGGGGTGAGTTTCGCTCAGGCATTCTTGCCGGATTCTGCGGCGAGCAGGGCATCGTACAGTCCTGGACGCTGCCGGAGTCCCCACAGCAGAATGGGGTTGCTGAGCGCCGCATTGGCTTGGTCATGGACATCGCCCGCACGTCCATGATTCATGCCCGTGCGCCCCATTTTCTGTGGCCCCACGCGGTTCGCTACGCCGCACACCAGCTGAACCTCCAGCCGCGTGTCTCGCGGCCCGAGGTTTCACCGACCAGTCTTTGGACTGGTTCCCCTAGTGTCGGGTCGGCCTTTCGAGTCTGGGGCTGCCTTGCACTTGTTCGCGACACCTCCGCGGACAAGCTCTCGGCACGCGCCGTCCCCTGTGTCTTCCTTGGTTTCCCAGTGGACTCTGCCGACTGGTCCTTTTACCACCCTCCCCTCCACCAGTTCCTCGACTCCCGTGACGTCCGGTTTGATGAGTCCGTGTCCTACTACACCCGGTACCCCTGTCGAGGTCTCCCGGTACCCCTCCCCCTCTTTTCCTCGCACCCTCTCCTCCTCCTGCTCCCGCTCCTCCGGTACCCCCGCCCCCCCCTGGTCCTGCCCCGTCTGGTGTGTCCCACGTTACCCCTCTACCCTCGGTCGCGCGTCAGGTAGCGTCTCCCTCCCCGCAGTCCTCCTCACAGTCCCCTCAGCAGCCTTCGGCACTTCCGCGACAGGTTACTGTGGACTCGGTTGGTGTTGGAGCTGGAGGTGCAGCCACTGGCGGTGCTCGGTCTGGGGGTACTCGGTCGCGGGGTGCTGGAGCTGGAGGTGCTGGCGCAGGTGGCGCTAGCTCTGGGGGTGCTGGAGCTGGAGGTGCTGGCGCAGGTGGCGCTAGCTCTGGGGGTGCTGGAGCTGGAGGTGCTGGCACTGGTGGTGCTAGTTCTGGGGGTGCAGGAGCTGGAGGTGCTGGCACTGGCGGTGCTAGTTCTGGGGGTGCTGGAGTTGGAGGTCCTGGCACTGGAGGTGCTAGTTCTGGGGGTGCTGGAGCTGGAGGTGCTGGCACAAGAGGTGCTGGTTCTGGGGGTGCTGGTCCTGGAGGTGCTGGTTCTGGGGGTGCTGGTGCTGGAGGCGCTGGCACTGGAGGTGCTGGTTCTGAGGAGACTGGAGCTGGAGACACTGGTTCTGCGGAGTCCACTTCGCCTCCCCACCGCCACGACACACGTCTCCAGGCGGCCCATCGGCGTGAGCGTGAGGAGCAGGTGCTGTTGGAGAGGGAGCGGCAGGAGTTGCGGCAGTTGGACCTGCTGGAGCAGCAGCGGCAGCAGCAGCAACAGCAGCAGCAGCAGCAGCAGCAGCAGCAGCAGCAGCAGCAGCAGCAGCAGCAGCAGCAGCAGCAGCAGCAGCAGCAGCAGCAGCAGCAGCAGCAGCGGCAGCAGCAGCAGCAGCAGCAGCAGCATCAGCAGCCGCCGCAGCAGCAGACACCGCCGCCGCAGCCGCGCCCACCGCAGCTCCCTCTTGAGCGGCAGTTGTTCCCACCCGTGAGTGGCCTTCGGGCCCTTGGTCTTCCCTCCTCTCCTCCTGTTCACACTCCGTCCCCTCCAGTGTTTGGTCCCACGTTTCCTCCTCCTGACGACAGTCCGGCGGTCTGGTCTTCTCCTCCACCGCAGTCTCCTCCACCTGGTGTCCCACACTCTCGTGTCCGTCCCTGTCCTCCGCGTGCTCGTCACTCGTCTCTCGTTACCGACCTCCGCACTGCCCTCCTTTGTTCGTCTCTTCGTCGTCCTCCTCCTGAGTCCGTTCTCCCGTCTCCTCCTCCGTCCTCTCTCCCTGTCCCCCCTACTCCTATCACCAACTACTACCGTGCTGTTCGTCCTGTTGTCTCCCGTGTCCTCGCCACTCTTGTCACCGACTCTCGTTTCCCTCCGTCGTCTGTCTCGGCTCTCACTGCTGCTGTCACTGAGTTTGCTGCCGCCAGCCGCCTTGACTGCACCACCCGTGTGGTGCTAGCTCCTCCCTCCCGTCCTCTGTCCGTCGGGGGTGAGTTTGCCCTTGGCTGTGACGTCCTAGAGGACAGAGAGTCTGAGCTGGAGTACTGGGCAGCCGCTTCTCCCTCTGTCTGTGCCATGCTGCTATCCCCTGAGGGAGACCCCGACGCCCTTGACATACCGACTCCTCGTACTTACCGCGAGGCAATGTCAGGGGCGTGGGCCTCTCAGTGGAAAGCGGCTATGGCCTCGGAGTTAGCGTCTTGGAGATCCACAGGCACCTACGTCGACGCAGTTCCCCCTCCCAGAGCGAACGTAGTCGATGGCATGTGGATCTTCAAGGTGAAGCGGCCGCCTGGTTCACCGCCTGTGTTCAAGGCGCGCTACGTGGCTAGGGGTTTCAGTCAGCGTGAGGGAGTTGACTTCTTCCAGACCTTCGCCCCGACCCCGAAGATGACTACTCTTCGGGTGTTACTGCACGTAGCAGCACAGCGAGACTACGAGCTGCACTCCCTTGACTTCTCTACTGCGTTTCTCCAGGGCCGACTACACGAGGAGATCTGGCTGCGCCGCCCTCCTGGCTTCACTGACACCTTCCCACCTGGGACCCAGTGCCTGAGACGGCCAGTCTACGGTCTCCGCCAGTCGCCCCGTGAGTGGCACGAGACTCTTCGCTCCACGCACCTTGGGTTTTGTCCTTCCTCTGCCGACCCGTCGCTGTTTGTTCGCACTGGTTCCACTCCTTTCTCTATACTAGTGTACGTCGACGACTTGGTCTTTGCCACAGCAGACAGGGCAGCTCTGGCTCAGGTGAAGTCCGAACTGCAGAAGAGACACAAGTGCACTGACCTAGGTGAACTGCAGCGCTACCTTGGCCTGCAGATCACCAGGGACAGAGCCGCTCGCACCATCACACTGACTCAGTCACACATGGTGCAGCAGGTCCTTCGGCGATTCGACTTCCAGTTCTCCACCACACAGCCCACACCTCTTGCTGTTGACCACAGACTCACTGGTCCCTTTCCGGACGAGCCCTTTGAGTCCAGTGGTCCCTACGCAGAGCTGGTGGGCTGCCTCATGTACCTGATGACTTGTACTCGGCCGGACCTCGCCTTTCCCCTCAGCATCCTTTCTCGCTTTGTTGCGACTGGGAGACACCGTCCTGTCCACTGGACAGCTGCTGTGAGGGTGGCAAAGTACCTGGCGACTACATCAGGCATGGGGCTTGTGCTTGGATGGACTCAGCCAGTGGCGTTGACTGGTCAGTGCGACTCTTCCTACGCTGACGACGTGGAAACTCAGCGCCCGACTCAGGGTTACTGCTTCAGTCTGGGAGCTGGTGCTGTGTCGTGGAGGTCTACACGGTCGTCGTTTGTGGCTACTTCCAGTGCAGAGGCAGAGATCTGCGCTGGTGCCATGGCAGCACAGGAGCTTCGCTGGTTGACCTTCTTGCTCGCTGACCTTGGTGAGCAGCCTCGCTCTGCACCGACCTTGTACGCTGACAACAAGGCCATGATCCTCCTCTGTCGAGAGCCTCGACTGGAGAGCAGAGTGAAGCATATTGACGTGAGGTACTTCCTCCCGCGCGAGCTTCAGCGACGCTGCCAGGCACGCCTATTTGTAGAGGGTACAGATGCTAGGGTTTCCTATTTGTATCCAACACTTTACTAGTTCATACATTCCATTGTGTTTAGATTATGAGAATAACCATCACATATTGGACTTGAGGAGACATATACTGCCCATGTTTGGCTAAGTACCAACCAACAAGGATGCCAGTAAAGGAGATTGCCAAGTGCCATATCAGTTTACCTGTGCTTATTGAAACTTTGTGTTAAAAAATATTTATGGTGTGTACCTACGCCGCATATCAGGCTCACACTGAAAACTCCCCTAACGTTAGAGGATGTGGAAATCTGATATGAGGTTGTCTGATATGCGGCGTAGGAACACACCCTTAATTCTTGCTGTTTCAAGAATACATATGATTTAGATTCCCATACTACGTATTGACAACATTTGTACAGGTCAGCTCCACAAAAACGGTGTATATCCAATTCTGCTAAACAGCCCCAGAACTGGTAGCAGTCCAGAACCATTCTCTTCTAGAAGAAACCCAACCTAGAACGACGCTACTGCAGCTCCCACCTCACACATGTGATCAAATCTCAGACACAGTTGAAGCAGAATCCCCGGTTCCGCCACACGCCCCATCCTTTAGGCCCCTTCCTGAACTGCCCCCTCGCCGCGCCCTCCGCATACGCGGCAGTCTTAACGAGCCCATAGTACGACCCGGGCGAGTCTAGAAGGTTTTGCATAGCCACTAAGTACGTGTCGCCCTGGTCATTAGTGCGCGACGACGCGTCGCGAATCACGCCCCTATAGTAGTACGAGGACAAGTTGCCGAGGGAGTTGTCTTTGCCGCGGCCGCCCCACCCCCAGCCGTTGCCCTTCTTCTTGCGGCCATAACGAGGGCCCGCCACGGCTTTCCCGGTAGTATCCGTCCATGTGATATCACTTGTGAAGTCCATGACCACGTTTCCGTTAGTTCCTTCGGCTCCTTCGTTGACGGTGACGGACGTCGGCTCGCCGGAATCCGTCAGCGCGATGCCGACTTGGAAGTACAGGTCGTAGACGGTGTCGTTCCTGTAACGAGAGGGACTCAAACCGGAGGATTTAAACAAGGGTCAGAACGACAAGCATTCGTCGAACGATGCGCGAAAGCGACGAAAAGAGAGAATTTGCCCCTCCCCTCCCCCCATCTCCACCCCACCTGGGAACGTAGAAAGCCCCTGTCCAGCGCACAGGGGTAATTTTTTACCAGACGAGCACGAGATCAATGATTACCCCTTTCCCCTTCCCCACCGTAGAACGTTCATAGTAGTAGTAATAATAATAATAATAATAATAATAATAATAATAATAATAATAATAATAATAATAATAATAATAATAATAATAATTAAAAAAAAACTCAGGCGCGCAGGAGTAATTCTTACTTGACGAGCACGAGATCGATGACCCCTGTGGCGTCCTTATCGCCAATCGAGTTCCCGCTAGCATCCACCACCTGCTCTCCGCGTAGCGTCGCTGACGCCGCTCCCGCGATCTTGCCCTTTCCTTTCCCACCACCCGGAAATTTCGGCCCCTTCCACCCCCCTCCGTTTCCGCCCTTCCCGTTGCCGCCGCCATTTCCGCCGCCCTTCCCGCCACCTTTGCCTCCGCCCTTCCCGTTGCCGCCGCCATTACCGTTACCGTTGCCGTTTCCGCCGTCCTTCTTTCCCAGCGCACCTGACACGCGTTCAATAAAGGAAGAAATATAGCAGCTGAGTTATCTGCTGATCAACACACAAATCGATTCGAGGTGTTTCTTCTACGGTCAGCGAAGTTCTACGACAGAAGGACACCGCAGATGCGAAAACGAAGGTCCTCAACCGGGGAAGCGGAACCACAGCGGAGGGGGCTTACTGGTCGCAAGGAGAAGAGCCAGTAGCAGCGAGACGAGAACCACCCGAGTGATCCTCATTGCGATAATCTCGTGCGTCACTGTCAGAAAACAGAGCGGAGCTTCCAACGAGTCGGTTCCGAAGTCGGTAACGAGTCAGCCCAGCAAGTTCCGAATTACGGTGAAGTTCAGGGCTGTTTTCTGCAGGCAGGATTCGCGTTGTGCGATCTGGAGGTACGCTCGCGACACTACTAGTAGCGTTTGTGATGGTCGTGTGAGAAATTTTGGTTGGAGAGAGACAAGTGCTGGTTACGGCTTCCACTAACAGAGCATTTTATGTTAGGGTTGGGAGGGAGATTGGGCTTGGCCTTTTTGTGAGGGGCGCAATTGGCGCAAGGGGCGCGAGCGACGCGAGGTTGGATGTAGTGGGGTGGTTGCTGTGCGGGAAGAAGTTAGGTGGGTTGGGGGATGGGGGGATCGGGAGATGGGGCTGGGGGGAAATGGGTGAAGTGAAGAGGGAGGCAGGCAGCGCGGTTCGAACTTCGAAGTGCAGTGAGTGATGCGCGTGGCTGGTCGGAAATTCGGAATGTAGTGGTGCAGCAGCAATCCCCTGCAGCAATCCTCGTGCCAGCAGCAAACAGCACTGGCGCATCTCAGCACGAAGGGTACAAGTGCTGGTGAGCAGAAGATTGGGGGAAGATGTGACAAACGACCGTGACCTGCGACACGCATGCAGCCTGTTTGTGCGTTTTGGAATGTTTCGCCGTTCATCTCGCAGGGCTGCTGCCGACAAGTGAGGGCCTCTACTGGTGATCCTCGAAGAAACCATTTCAAGGGCGCATTCCTTGAATCAGGCTCGGGACCTTGAGCTCCATCCCGAACCTGGCCAGTGCTGTGCCCTGCTGTGCGGCCCACCTAGCGCAAAAGAACGCTGAACTAGTAGTGCTGTGCTGTCCCCCCCCTCCCAGGCAAACTGGGTGCGAGACTGGTGCGAGACTGGTTCCCGCTCGAAGCGCGGACCCAGGGATAGCACAAGTAGTCACGGGCAGGGATTGGTTGGCGAAAGTTTTTGTAGTTGCGAAGAGGATGGCAGGGGCGTTGATGCATGCCGAGCCTCCCGACGCACTGCTTGTGCTGTGCTGCGCTGTCCGCCCACCATTTGCCGGTGGGCAACAGAACAGGGCCTGAAAGTCGTTACAGGAAGGCTACGATACGAGTTTGATCGGTCCTCGCAATGCCAATCTTCGCCAGTGGCAAGACGGTTAGGTCAGCAACAACTCCAACAATCGGTCGGTTCAGTGCTTTGCCGTATGAATTTCTGGCAAAATCACGGGGTGCTGGCCGAAACCGTCAGGTACAGTAAAAGGTTGTTGGTGAGAGCAAGCAGATACCCCAAAATACGCGATAAAAATCGCGTCGTTCTCGCAATAGCCTGGCCCGAAACTGCATCATCTATCATCCGACGTAATGAAAAACACAACTTTAGCACCTCAACCACCCATATCAGCCACAAACCCCTCTGCCAGTCTCCGCCTGCCATCTGACATTTCCAGAATCCCGAAACCCAATCGGCGGGGTGCACACTTGGCGGGAAAATGCCTTCTCAGGGTGACTGATCAAAAGACGATCAGATTCGGAGTTCTCCTGTTTGTTTATCAGGAAAGCCCAAACCTGCAAGCATCCTCTTCGTTAGGACTGAGTTTTTTTACGTCCAGCGGTGCTGTTTCCCGGTTCTGATCTCCTGGAGTGCGTCTGTGACTTCTGACGTGCGGTGACTGAAATTAGCATCGATCGCAGCGATGTCTGGGTACGATTACCAGGGCTACGGCGATGGAGGAGGTGGTGGAGGAGGCGGGTATGGCGGAGGTAAGTTCTTAAGCTGCTATCAATTCCTTCGTCGAAAGATAAAATCTCCACACTTCCTAAAACTGTATTCTATGTATTGTAGCGTCGGAAATCACAAGTTCGTTCATTTAGGCACAATAGAACATCTAAGAGGCCTTTATCCCTGAATCCATTATTTTCTATACGTCAGATCTGCACCATTTGTTAATCGGCATCTCCCTTTCTCTCTCTTTGTCCTCTTGCTTAACTCAACATGGCAATCTTCCTCCGATATTTCCATGGCGTGGATTCCACGGTCGAATCGCCCAGGCGGGGGTCGCGGAGGGTTCGGCGGACGAAGCGGAGGAGGTCGAGGCGACGGTGATTGGCTGTGCCCGAACCCATCGTACGGACCGCCCTTAGCTTTTTAGTAACCATACCCACCACCTCTTCCAATGCCGGTCGTGGCTCGATTCTGTAACGTGGTGTTCGCATCGGTTGGCGAAAGGTTTTTGGTTGCTTGGACGTTTCCCGGGTGGTCTGCTCGAATTTTCTCAATTTAAATCAGGTAGGCTTTGTCTCGATTTTGTTTTCCTCATAGGTTTCGCTCTGATTGACTAACACTGTAAGTAGTATCGAGGCGTCTTTTAGACGTCGTATACCAGTGGCGAATGCTGCCTGAAAAGGCACGAAAAATAGCAGCTTGCTTCCAGGCGATTTTTTTCCGCCTTATCCTTTTTTCGCGTCATGAATTCGTCATCCTCTCCTTTCAGCTTGTTGAATGCCCTCCCTTCCGCGTATCCCGTGCCTTCAACCTCTCACCCTCGTCTCCGCCGGTGGTGTGTTCGTCGCAGATGTGGTAACAACAACTTCGCACGTCGCTCCGAGTGTAACCGATGCGGCACCGCGCGTCCTGCCGGAGCTGGCGGGGGCGGTGGAGGCGGAGACTTCGGCGGAGGCGGAGGCGGAGGGTTTGGCGGAGGAGGCGGGCGCGGTGCTCCGCCCGCTCGACCCGGCGACTGGGATTGCTCGGGGTGAGTCTCCCTGTGCGGTGACTATGGCGACGGTATAGCTGTGCTATAACGTGGTGATTTTTGAAGGGCTATTTGGTTCTCGAGCACAATTGCTTCTGCATAGTATGGCACCTGCGTTAGCATAGTGACCAATGCGAAGGAAATATTTCAGGTTGGATACATTCGTTGCTAAAACCCTGGGTAGTTAGCGGTAGTCCGCTCGTCTTTAGGAAAATAAGCGCCAGTTCCGTAATTTTTGCCTTTCATATATTCATTTCCCTGTTTCACCTCCTGTTCACTTGTTCCCCGTATTCCCTTTCCCGTTTCCCGTTCCCCGTCCCCCCGGTTTCCGTTCCCCCGTTCCCTGTCCTCCGTTCCCCCGTTCCCCATCCCTGTTCCCTCCCGCGGCAGTTGCGGAAACAACAACTTTGCCCGCCGCGCCGAGTGCTTCAAGTGCGGTACTGCGCGCCCCGCCGACGCGGGCGCTGGCGGCGGTGGCGGCGGCGGGCGCGGAGGGCGGGAGGGGGAGGATCGGTATGGTGGCGGAAGAGACGACAGGGGGAGTGATCGCTACGGTGGGGGAAGAGGGGACGATAGGGGCAGGGGGGACGACAGGGGTAGGGGGGATGACCGCGGGAGAGATGACAGGGGAAGGGGGGACGATAGGCGCGGGGGGGATGACAGGCGCGGCGGGGACTACGGGTCCCGCGGAGGGGGAAGGGGGGAGTACGACCGCGACGGGGGGCGTGGGGATGGGGGGCGGGGCGGCGGAGATATTGGCGGGCGCGGTGGGGGAGATTATGCGCGGGACGACAGGGGCGGTGGCGGCGGGGGAGGGGGAGGGGGCTCCGCAGGCGGGGGAGGGGGATATGGGGAGGACGCCGGGGCGGACAGTGGGGGCGGGGGGGTAGCGCCGGGGGTGAAGCAGTGCGACGAGAATTGCCCTCCGGATTGCGACAATGCGCGGATTTATATTTCCGGGATGCCCAAGGACGTCACCGTCGACGAGCTCTGCAACCTGTTCGGCGGAATTGGAATGGTGAGTGGTGGTGAGGGGTGTTGAACGTTGGTGGGGGATGGTGAGGGGTGATGAGGGGTGGTGAGGGCTGATGAGGGGTTCAGCAGGGATGAAATAACTTAGAGAGGATTAGTGAGGGGTTTTGGGAGGGATGGAAGGATTGGTTTTATGAGTCAAATCAGAGTATCACCTACGCGGATGGCCGATAAGAATCGAAGTTTCGAAAATGAAAGAAATAGACAAGTTGTTTAGGGCTAAACAAGATGCTGAACCACAAGGGTACAAGGTCCAGTGGCTTGATATCCATTTGGTATCAGTCTAATAGCTGCCACAGCAAAGTGTTGACTTCAACCCTATTTCCGCCCCACCTTTCCCCCCCTCCCCCCCTCCCATCCGCGCAGATCGCGCGCATCAAGCAGAAGCGCGGGTACAAGGATCAGTGGCCGTACAACGTGAAGCTGTACACGGACGAGAGGGGGCAGAACAAGGGCGACGGTGTGCTCACCTACGAGGACCCGCAGGCAGCTCACAGTGCTGGTGGCTTCTTCAATGGTGAGATTTCGGGTTTAGGTGGGTTGGGGTGCTTGTAGTTGCTCCAAGCGTGCGTGTGGGGTTGAAGGCGCGTGAAGCTGTACACGGACGAGAGGGGGCAGAACAAGGGCGACGGTGTTTTGACCTACGAGGACCCACAGGCCGCCCACAGCGCTGGTGGCTTCTTCAACGGTGAGATGGGCGCTTGTGCTGGGTGCATGTGGGAGCATGGTGGGTGGGGTGGGTGGTTACGAGGACCTACGAGGACCCCCAGGCCGCCCACAGCGCCGTTGGCTTTTTTAATGGTGAGATGGGCACGTGGGTGCTCTAAGCGTGTGTGTGGTTGAGAGGGGGCAGAACAAGGGCGACGGCGTGTTGACCTACGAGGACCCCCAGGCCGCCCACAGCGCCGGTGGCTTCTTTAACGGTAAGATGGGCACGTGGGTGCTCTAAGCGTGTGTGTGGTTGAGTGGGGGCAGAACAAGGGCGACGGCGTGCTGACCTACGAGGACCCTCAGGCAGCTCACAGCGCCGGTGGCTTCTTCAACGGTGAGCTGGGTGCTTGTGCTGGGTGCATGTGGGAGCATGGTGGGTGGGGTGGGTGACCCCCAGGCCGCCCACAGCGCCGGTGGCTTCTTCAACGGTGAGCTGGGTGCTTGTGCTGGGTGCATGTGGGAGCATGGTGGGTGGGGTGGGTGACCCCCAGGCCGCCCACAGCGCTGGTGGCTTCTTTAACGGTGAGATGGGCGCATGGGTGTGGTTGCTCCAAGTGTGTGTGTGTGGTTGAAGGCGTTTAGACGTCCCCCCTCGGCTTCCTCCTTCCCCCCTCCTCTTTTCCATCTCTTCACCTCTCTCCCATCCCTCCCCCACCTCTCTGCCACCGCTCCCTTACCTCTTTCCGATTTCTCCCCCTCTTTATCGACCTGCTAAGCCACCCCCTGCGAGACTGCACCATCAATCAAGGTTGGATTGGCAGATAAATCAGTATTGTGCCCCTTTTGCTCCCTCTTTCCTGCTCTTTCCCCTCCTCTCCTCTCTCCCCTGCTTCAGGTCACACTCTGCGTGGCAGCACAATCAAGGTGGGAATGGCGGAGAAGTCAGCACCACGACCAGGAGGAGACCTCACCTCTGTGTGTCCTCACCCCCCATTCCCCCCACCTCTACCCCTCCGTCTCCCCATCCCCCCCATTCTTTCCACCAGGTCACACTCTGCGCGGCAGCACAATCAAAGTGGGAATGGCGGAGAAGTCAGCTCCATGACCAGGAGGGGAACTCACCTCTGTGTGTCCTCACCCCCCATTCCCCCCACCTCTACCCCTCCGTCTCCCCATCCCCCCCATTCTTTCCACCAGGTCACACTCTGCGTGGCAGCACTATCAAGGTGGGAATGGCGGCGAAGTCAGCTCCACGGCCGGGAGGAGAGCTCAGCACTGTGTGTCCTCACCCCCCATTCCCCCCTTCTCTTCCCCCCCCCCAGGCCACACCCTGCGCGGCAGCACCATCAAAGTGGGAATGGCGGAGAAGTCAGCTCCACGGCCGAGAGGAGAACTCACCTCTGTGTGTCCTCACCCCCCATTCCCCCCACCTCTACCCCTCCGTCTCCCCATCCCCCCCATTCTTTCCACCAGGTCACACTCTGCGTGGCAGCACAATCAAGGTGGGAATGGCGGAGAAGTCAGCTCCACGGCCGGGAGGAGCAGGCGGACGAGGAGGGTGAGTGGTGTTTTGGGGTTTGGGGGGGATTTTTGGGTTTGGAGAGGAGGTTGGTGAGTGGGGTTGAGTGGGGCTTTAGGGCTTTGGGGGGGGTGTATTTGGTGGTGGAGAGGCGGTTGGTGAATGGGGGTGAGTGGCACTTTGGGAGGGCTGCCCCTGTCCCGCTCCTCGCCTCTCTCTAGTTTGCTGATGAGAGGAATTAAAAGGTGTCTGATGGGCTCACGGGACTCACCGTTTGCTGCACCAACACGAGCCCGAGGGCTGCCCCTGACCCGCTCCTCGCCTCTCTCTAGTTTGCTGATGAGAGGAATTAAAAGGTGTCTGATGGGCTCACGGGACTCACCGTTTGCTGCACCAACACGAGCCTGAGGGCTGCCCCTGTCCCGCTCCTCGCCTCTCTCTAGTTTGCTGATGAGAGGAATTAAAAGGTGTCTGATGGATGGAGAGGAGGATGAGTGGCGCTTTGGGGTGGGGGAGTAACGCTCACGTGCCAGTAAAATAGTGGAGCTTAAGGGCGTTATCTTAGACGGGAGAATTGAGCTTCATTGCTGCTGTGTTGCTGTTTGTCGCCCTGTCTGTTCCTGCACTCTCCCTCCGTCTTTCCTCCCCCACTCCTCTCTCCTCCCCCACTCCTCTCTCCTCCCCCACTCCTCTCTCTTCCCCCACTCCTCTCTCCTCCCCCACTCCTCTCTCCTCCCCCACTCCTCTCTCCTCCCCCACTCCTCTCTCCTCCCCCACTCCTCTCTCCTCCCCCACTCCTCTCTCCTCCCCCACTCCTCTCTCCTCCCCCACTCCTCTCTCCTCCCCCACTCCTCTCTCCTCCCCCACTCCTCTCTCTTCCCCCACTCCTCTCTCTTTCCCCATTCCTCTCTCCTTCCGCGCTTCTCTCTCTTCCCCCACTCCTCTCCCCTCCCCCGCTCGTCTCTTCAGCCCCACTCCCCTTGCACTTCGTCCTCCGTACTTCCTCACTCATCCCTCTTCGTGTGTCCGTAATTGCAGTGGAGGTTTCAGGGGAGGTCGAGGGGGGTTCGGAGGAGGGGGGGGGTTCAGAGGGGGAGGAGGGCCGGACCGCAGGGACTTCGACAGGGGAAGGCCCCGCCCCTACTAACTGAACATTGTTGGGGCTCATTACGCGACCCTCTCTCCCTCCTGTTGTGGCTGACTGCTCAGGTTAGCACTGCAGCATTGACTTTCCTTGCCCCTATGGCTTTGTCTCTCAGGATACCGTAGGATACTGAATTGTGATGCTGTTACTTGTACCGTTTTTGGCATTTTCTATGGTGATGTGGCATTAGACACTGTTCCTCTGGTAGCTGTGGTCACATGTGGTGGGTGGGTTGGCTATGGTATCCCTACTGTTGCTGGCCCAGGTAGGTGGTATCAGGTTCAGAAGCCATGTTGAGAGCTGCTACCTATGCACCTTTTAGTGCATATGCAGACTGTCTGGAGTTAATTGGTGTTATAAGTAGTAGACTCAAACTGCAACAGAAATAGTGGTAGTGTAGTGGTCTGGTGGCGTGGAAAATTAAGTGCTGTAAATCCACTTTTGATCCAACTTTACACAACACGGTTTGCTGAACAGCACAGTTAACCAAGGTTAACTGACCACAGATTACCGTACCACAAGCGGTGGAATGAAATGGGCGGAGCAAGCACTTAGCACAACACTTTGCTAAGTAACCAGCAGCTGCAGTTCCTTACCCTGCTATAATATCAACCACACCCCCCCCCACCACCACACCAATCCACCCTAACCCCCCTCCTTGCCTTGACCACCTATCTACAGCCCATAGCAACTAGCCGTTGCACTTGCAGATTCATCCAGTCATTGAAGATTCCACCAGAGGTGACTGACCTCAGCAGTCATTTGCAGATCCCATCCCAAGCGGTTACCCTGTCAGCGACTACCCTGTCAGCAGTTACCCTGTAACCTCCGAGGCATCACGAGCCTAGCCTGACCTGTCGATCCCGCATTGACCACGAATGACACCACTGGGGTAGTTAGCATTCGCCACCAAGCCATAATGCTTCTGAGTTGTCCGTGTAAGGATTTCGATCGCATCAAATAGGTTTGACCCGTCGGCAGCAGTCATCAACCTTATTCCGTCCCACGACCCTCGGAACACGTAATTGTAACCGAGAGGAGCGGAGGATTTCGGGAACCACGAGACGATCCCGAGGCTGTAGGATCGGGACACGTTGTGCCATTTGTTGTTTTGGTCGCCGAAATCAATCACTGTAGACCCGTCCTCTCCCTCATAGCCTGTGTTGATAACAGCTGCTATGGGAAACCCAGGGTCTTTAACCTTCACAAAACCACCATAATGAGCATCGAAATCGCCGTCATTCCTGGGGGAAGGAATTTGAGTAGCAAGGAGGGAGGCGGTATTTATAACAAGAAAGCAATGCAGTATTTAGAACCTTAAATCCTAAGGGAAAAATGAGGATGGATGGAGTAAATTTTGAACTACGGTATCGAGTGTTCTGTAGCTAGCAACGACAAACACACCTCTTGTAAACGATGATGAAGTAAAAGCCAAAGGCCCTATCCTGCCCAATTTTGTTCCCCTTGGAGTCTCTCCCCCTCATGACACATATTATGGTCGCTGCAAGGAGGAGTGGGGTATGGAGGGAGGAAATAAGGGAGGGGAAGATGAGGGAAGGAAGGAGAGAGTAAGTGTGACTCCAATAGTGCTACCCTTGGAGTCTCTCCCCCTCATGACACACACTATGGCCGCTGCATTGGTGTTTGAAAAATGGGAGGGAGAGTGGGTTGGGGGGGGGAACGGTGGGCGGAGATGGGGTGGGAGGAGGAAGGCGGAAGAACGGTGAGGGAATGGGGGAAGGTTGGTTCTGATCTCGTTTTTTTCGATCAGATCTATTTGTTGGGTCCTTTTCCCTCATTGGGCATTTGACGCTTCATTTAGGCGTGCGGCTTGCTTTGCAAGCGGGAAAACCCGCTGACCATGCCTGCTTAGCTCAAGCAGGCATTCAAATAGGCTCTAACAATGGTGTGTTGCTTGCTTTGCGCAGGCACAGTTGGCATGTTCGTTACACCACAAATCGCTCTGCCTGGATCACTCACAAGGGGGACGAACGGACGAATGAACCTATTACTCCTCATGCCTGCGCAATCGGCACGTTCTTTGCAAGTTGCACCGCGAGTCGGTCACTATGAAAATCACTCAAAACGGACGGGAAACCTATTCCTCATGCCTGAAATAGCTCCTCGTTCTGTATAAGCCGATACAATTGGCCGACTTACTGTACAAGCCAAGGTAAGTGGCCATTTTGTGGGCGGATTGTTTTTTCACGAATGTTTTGGCTTCATTTCGCATCCGGTTCATCTGCAGCTGCCTCAGCTTCGCCTGAAAGCCCGCGTAATACTTGTTGCTCCGCAGCCCCGCTGTAAGCTTTTCCAGTTCGTCCTGTAACGGATTGGCTGATTTCCCAGGCACTGCGAAGGGAAGATGAAAAAAACGGCGTGGGTGGGGGGTTGGTTGTGAGTGGGTGGAACGGTTAAAAACGGTCAAGGGGTCAGCGGAACGGTTCACAGCACGGGTAATGCAGGGGCGTGTGGGGTGTGGGGAGCGTGGCGATGTGGGGTGGGTGAGGCGTGAGGCGAGCGAATGTTGAGGGACGACAACGTTTATAGAAGAGGATCGAGCTTGCAAGTGAAGCATAAATGACTCAATACAGGCTGTGACATCGGACGTCCGTATAAGCGCGAAAATGTGTTGCACACATGTCATTAATAAGCACCTGCGCTTCTAGCTTCCTAAGACAATATAAGAGAACCCTTGCACACAGAGGGCATAGAGCGTTCGCCGCGAGTGCTTCGTTAGCAATGAGAGGCCAACTTACGCGTCGCGAGAAGGCATAGAGCGACGGCGACGGATACGAACACGAAGCGGCTCATGCTGGCGCGGCGCGACGCTGAAAGTAGGCACTAAATGTCGAGCCTCCTCGCGAGGAGGCGGAAAATGTTTCTATAACACAGGAAATATTTTGTCAATTAGTAGTTGTGCGCTCGGGGCGAGGTAAACGTCTTGGGAGGCCCTCGGACGCTTTAGATATTCGTGAATGGTTGCGCGCACGGGATGAATCGCCAAACGCGCGAATGAAAGGACGCTCGTTAAAGAGTGGCGTGACTGACGGTACCTTTATGCGGCGGGTTGTTCGGGAATGCGAAGAAAGAAGCGAAAGGATAAGCTATAAGAGGATTGCGCTTGCATGCGGTGGCACAGGGAGATTTGAAAACACACCCCTTGAGTCACCCTCGGCCCACACAACTCACGACTCACCACCACACACACGCACATGGGAAGAGAAATTGTACAGGAACGATTATGCGGCGTTGTGGCACACCCGCGAACTGGCGGCGCGATTTAGCAACAACACGGCCTGGGAAGGTGAATATGGGTGGGGATGGGTAAGTGGGGGTTGGCTCGTTCGAAACGACTTTGTACGAAATGTAGGTTCGGGGGGGCTTCGAGCTCAGAGAAAAATGTCAAACACAGCGCCGAAAAATGTCAACCACTGCGCCCAAGGCATTGCGTTGCGTCGCCCGCCGAAAATGTCAAACACGCCCAAGGCATTGCGGTTGCGGGTCCGAAGAGGACAACCAGACCAACCAGACCAGCCAGACCACTCGCCGCTTCATTTCACCGAAAACCCATCTCCATCCCACCTCTTTCCCTCGCATCCCCCAGCACCCACCATTTCTTTACCGACCACCAGCCTCCGCTCTCCCGCACACCACCTCCGCCGAATCAGCTGCCGAGGCATGGAGGCTCGATCAGTCAAGAACACGGCGGGCGGCTGGCTAGGAAGCTTACGAACCGAGCTTGCCCCAGCTCGGTAACCTTGAAACGCTCAGCCAAGGCTGTACCGAACGAAACCTCCTCAAAACTCAGGTGTGGTGGGTGCCGGAACCTCCTCGACAACCAACAGCAGTTCCCTTCCCTCCCAGCACTCGGGCGTGTTCATGCACCTTCCTGCAATGTATGGTTGGCCTGGAAAACCCAGCCCAAAATGCCAAATCCAGAATGCGACTCGAAAACCAGTTTGTCATGGACCAATTTTCAGATATAAGTACAGTTCATTGTTGGCTCAGTGCACCAATAATGCTTCCAAATCAAAGCTGCAAAAACAACCTCGTCATATTTTCCTAAAATATAATCAAGTGCAACCACATTCAGACTAGTAGTACGTCTAACTGAGACCCTGCTCCCAGCCTTTGCTTGTCTGCCACCCGATGTGTCAGCAGTTGTTCTGGTCCGCTTCCCCATCAAATAATATCCCCTCCCCCCTTCGACCACCTTAGCAACCGGCTATGCAACCAGCCGTTGCAGCTCCTTAAAAGCATGGTTAACTCCCTTATTCACCCTTTCATCTCGCCCAACCCCCCCTCAACCACCTATTTGAAGCTTAATGCAAACAAGCGTCGCAGTTCCTCACTGCACAATACCCTCCCTAATCCACCCTTCCCCTGTGGTCCACCACTGACCACCTCGTTAAAACCCTTTGCAACCAGACGTTGCATTTACTTCACCCATCAAACCCCCCCTGAACCACCCCGCCACCACCCCCCCTACCCCCCCCCACTCGCCCCCCTTTCCCCCCATTCTTCCACCTTTCGACCACCTCATTAAAACCCATAGCAATTAGTCGTTGCAATTCCCTGCAGATTCCAGCATGGGCAAGACACCAGCAGTCATTTCCCGGTCCCAAGCGGTTACCCAGTTGAATTTGACCCGTCGTTACCCGCCGGTCTCGAGCCTGCATTGGCCACGAATGGCCCCGCCGGGGTAATTGGCATTCGCCACGAAGCCATAATGCACCCGAGTTTTCTGCGCAAGGTTGTTTATCGCGTGACAATCCTCCCGAATCCAACCGTAACCCACTCCTTCCCTCAACCACCTCTCTACAGCCCATGGCAACTAGCCGTTGCACTTGCAGATTCACCCAGTCGTTGCAAGATCCCACCAGAAGTGACTGACACCTGCCGTCATTTGCCGATCCCATCCCACGCGGTTACCCTATCACCTCTGAGACGTTACGAGCCTACCCTCATTTGTCGATCCCGCAATGGCCACGAATGGCCCCGCTGGGGTAGGCGGAATTCGCCACCAATCCATAATGCGCCTCAGTTTTTGCCGCAAGGTTGTTGATCGCATCATCCATGGCTGACCCATCAGCAGCAGTCAGGCCACTCATCGCGATCCACGACCCGCGAAACACGTAGTTGTAACCGCGAGGAGCGGAGGATTTCGGGAACCACGAGACGATCCCGAGGCTTTGGGATCGGGACGCGTTTTTCCAGTTCACTTGCGCGCCGAAATCGATCACTGTAGACCCGTCTTCGCCCTCGTAGCCTGTGTTGATAACGGCTGCAATGGGGATTTCAGGGTCCTTGAGCTTGACAAAGCCGCCATAATAACCGTCGAGATCACCGTCATCTCTGCAGGAAGGGAGGGAAAGAGGGGGAGAGGCGGGGATGACCTCTGTGATGGGGATTTCAGGGTCCTTGAGCTTGACAAAGTCGCCGTTATACCCGTTAAGATTACCGTCGTCTCTGTGGAGAGGGAAACAATAATTGCTATGCAAACAGGTGTACACTTTCCTATAACGAGGATGGGGTAGTAAGGAGCGAGGTGCACATCATAACCATGAGGACGCATGAAGTAGCAAAGGAAAGGACAAGCGCACCTCATATAAACGAGGATGGAAATGAAGCCGAAGGCATGATCTTCCCCAATCTTGTTCCCCTTTGAGTCTCTTCCCCTCATGACACACATTATAGCCGCTGCAGGTGGGTTACAAACAGGGAGCGAGAGGTGGGAGACGGGGATCAGAGCTTGAATAATTGTGCTTATTTTATTAGTCTTGTGTCCCCCTCATGAGGCACATTAAGGCACCGCACAGGGGACTCCACGAGGGGAAAGGGAAGGGTGAGGTGAAGGGGGAGGGCAAAGAATGTAGGTACTTTCCTAGCCAGTGTAGAAGTGTAATCTGCATCTTCTCAGCATAACCCTGATTATTTTATTGTTATAGAAAGAGATCCCAGCCTTGCCAGTGGAGCAATTTAATATACCTTTTTTCTCCGTATAACCTTTCATCACGAGGTCATTTACGGAAATCATTGTAAAGGAGGCCTACACTACCATGTTATGCCTGCCCAATGAGGAAAGTTCAATGTTTGGGAACCATAGATTTCGCACACGTATACCACTCAAAGGAAGAGGGGTAGGGGGGAAAGGGGGGGATGCGGGGGAAGGGAAGGGGAAACCTCCTCTTTGTGTGTGAATCGCACGGCTTACTATGCAAGGCAGTGTGATGCAAGACAATGCGACGCAGGCCAATGTGAGCCGACTTACTGTGCAAGCCGAGGTAGTTGGTCATCTTGTCAGCAGATTGCTTGGCAACGTAACTTTTTGCTTCGGTCCGCATCCGGTTCATCCGGAGTTGCTTCAGCTTCGCCTGAAATCCCCTGTAATAGTTGTTGCTCTGTAGCCCCGCTGTTAGCTTTTCCAGCCCTTCTTGTAGCGGGTTTGCCGCTGCATTCACGGGTGCTGCAAGGGGGAATGGGAGGAGAGGCGCGGTGAGGAGGTAGTGGGGGGTTGTGAGTGGGTGGAACGGTTAAGGAGTCAGTGGAAACGGATGGGTTGACAGCACCGTTACTGCAGGGTTGAAAGCCGCGTGATAGTCGCGCAGTAACCGCGCAATAGCCGCAGAATAGCCGCGCAATTACCGTGCGATAGCTACGCAATAACCGCGGAATCGCCGCGCACGAAATGAGCCGCTCTATAGCCTCGCTTGCACGTTAGTACGAATTGATATAGCGTGATTTGTAGCAATGAGAGGCGAACTTACACGTCGCGAGAAGACATAGAGCGACGTTGACAGCGACGGCGACGGAGATGAGCACGAAGCGACTCATGCTGGCGCGGCGCGACGCTGAATGGAGGCCCAGCCCCCAATGTCGGTCGAAGAAGCGAAAAAATACTTCTGACCCTCGGAAGGTTCGGAATTTCGTGACACTTTTCTCACACGGGACGATTCGCCAAACGCAAATTATGGCTGACGGTACTTTATTTGCTATGTGGTGCGGCGGTTCGGGAATGCCAAGAAAGAAACCAAGTGATTAGCTGAAAATTGCGCTTATGCAGTGACTGACACGGACGGTCTTTATACTGTATCACCTTCATTCGCGCCTGGGCAAGACTGTATGAGCACACAAACGATGTGCTGCCCCCTCGCTATGCATAATGCACACCTCGCTCAGCTCCACACGGGCGCGGAAAACCCGACGGAGGGCGATACGGCGGCGGTATGCCGAAGCTAGCGTTAGTAGGTGGCCATACTGCACACCAGCGGCGCGGCGCGGGTCGTACACCACCCTTGATTGGCAACATTAGGACTTGGGGAGGTGAGTAGGGGTTGGGATGGGTATTGAGGGGGTGACTCGCGGAGATAAGCGAATGATTCCGTACGGGACGGGACGGGACGTACGGTGAGGTGGGGCTTCGAGTTCCGCGAAATCGTCTAGCGCTGCGCCAGGGGCATTCCTCCGCCCGCAAGACCACTCATCGCCTCCCTTCTCCCAAAACCCATCTCTACCCCAACCACCTCTCTCCACCCCATCCCCGAGCCTACCCTAGTATTCCTTCCAGCGTTCCCTGCAGCACACCACCTTTCGTCAAATCAGCTGTCGACGGATGGAGGCTCGGAGGGACGATAAAGCAGCGACTGGCTGGTTGGCTTGGGATATTTACAAACCTAGCCCTGGAACATCTGCCCTTGCTAGTTAGGCCAAACCACCTCCAGTGCCTGTACGTTCGTGATGATCCGCCCTTACAGCCAGTTGTTCTTAGCCTCGGTTGCTTAGTAAGGAAGTACCGAAGCAAACTTCCTCGGTGAAAATCGACGACCACGAGCAGTTCTCAGCACCCAAGGCCATTCATACTGTAGCTTCCTGCAGCGTACGATTGGCCCGAAGGAATTTGTGCTCCAAGCCCAAAATGCCAAATTGCAAATGCGACGCGGCAAGCAGCTTGTGGATGACCAATTTACAGGTCCATGCACTTATGCAAACAGTCAATACTGTATTAACAGCTAGATGAAAGCTACAACAACTATATCAACTGTACCACATAAACTCAAATCCGAAAGTCAACTCAAATGTAACTCCATTCAGAACAACGCCATACGAAATTGGAGACCCTGCTCCTGATGCTCCTGTAGCATATCCCTCCCAAAAACCCAATGTGCCACCAGGTTCCAGTTCCCCACCCACAATAATCCCCTCCCCTCTCCAAAGGCCTTCTACCCCTTCTACCCCTTCAACTTCCTCCACCTCTTTAAAACCCATTGCAACTAGTCGTTGCACTTCCCTGCAGATTCCACCAGAGGCGAGACACCAGCAGCCATTCGTCACTCCGTTGATTCACCCAGTTGATTAACCAAGTTAATTCCCTGACGTGTCGATCCCGCATTGGCCTCGAACGGCACCGCTGGGAAAATTGGAATTCGCCACGGCGCCATAATGCGCCTGAGTCTTCTTTGCAATGGCCAATACCGCATCGGACAGAACAGACCCGTCGGCAGCAGTAAGCGCGCTCATTCCGACCCACTTTCCCCCGAAATAGTAGTTGTACCCGAGAGGAGCCGGGGATTTCGGGAACCAGGAGATGATCCCGAAGCTTTGGGACCGGGAGGCGTTTTTCCAGGTGACTTCGGCGCCGAAATCGATCACTGTAGACCCATCCTCTCCCTCATAGCCTGTGTTGATAACGGCTGCAATGGGGATTTCAGGGTCCTTGAGCTTGACAAAGCCTCCGTAGTAACCGTCGAAATCCCCGTCGTCTCTGCGGGGAGGGAGGGAAAGAGTTAGGGGGAAAGAGGGGGGGAAGAGGGGGCAGAAAAGGAGGAGAAGAGGAAGAGAAGAGGGGGAGAAGAGGGGGAGAAGAGGGGGAGAAGAGGGGGAGAAGAGGGGGAGAAGAGGGGGAGAAGAGGGGGAGAAGAGGGGGGAGAAGAGGGGGAGAGGGGGAGAAAAAGGGGAAAACGTATGAAGAACAAGGATGGATGAGCTCTTTATAAACGATATGCAATGAAACAGGTGTAAACAATGAGAATAAAAGAGAATGGGATAGTTCCAAACGAGCACGCATGATGATAACGAGGATGCAGTAGCAATGACAATCGCACCTCTTGAAAAGGAGGATGTAAAAGAAGCCAAAGGCATGATCCTGGCCAATCTGGTTACCCTTCGAGTCCCTCCCCCTCATGACGCACATTATGGCCGCTGCAAGGGGCGGGGGGGAGGGAAGCGGGGAAGGCAATCTTGTTGGTGGATAGCAATGTAACGAGGTGACTGTTGAGTCGACTCAGAAGTTACCTTGTAAGCCAGTGTAATTGCCTGACTTCCTTCGCATCGCATATTACTTCGCATCTTAGTGTAGCTGGCCATCTTGTCGGCGGATTGCTTCGTCACGTAATTTGAGCTGTCGCAAAAATAAAATTGCCCAACTTACTGTCCATCTTAGTGTAATTGTCCCACTCACTTCGCATTTTAGTGTAACTGGCCATCTTGTCGGCCGATTGCTTCGTCACGTGGTTCTTAGCTTCGTTGCGCATCCGGATCATTTGCAGCTGCTTCAGCTTAGCCTGAAAGCCCCTGTAATACTTGTTGGTCTTCAGACCGGCTGTAAGCTTATCCAGCCCTTGCTGTAACGGATCGGCCGACTTTACAGGCACTGCAATGGGGGGATGGGATGGGATGGAAGGAGGGGCGCGGTGGGGAAGGGGGAGGGGGGATGGTATGCGTGGGAGGAACGGTTAAGAACGGTTAAGGTATGTGGGGGTAAGGCGGGAGAAGGAAGGAGGACGACAAAACACGGCATGTATACGTAGGTAGGGGCCGTGGTGAGCGTGTTGGGCGTGGGGGGTAAGGACGGCAAAGGATGGGGAACGAAAAGATACCCGAACAAGCACCGGGCCCGCATCGGGCTTGCGTATGAAGCACAAACGACTCGATATAAGCTGCAACAAGGCTTTTTGAGTCGAGTAAGAGATTGGGACGATAAAGACACTCGCACGCACAAGAACCGGACCCGCATCAAGCTTGCAAGTGAAACACAAGCGGCTAGGTACAAACTGCTACGCGAAGTACTTAAAATGCGCGCGTAAAGTGCGTTGACACGTCGCAAATAAAGAATAGAAGAGTCTATGCAAGCTGAGTCTCGGGAGCTTATACGTTTTACGCGCACATTACATAAAGAGCATCCACGCTGCGTCGCGTTCCTATACATGAAACGACCGCTCCCGCATGTGGCGCATAACAAGCATCCACGCTGCGTCGTTTAGTCACCCCGTTCCTAAACACGAAAGCGACCGCTCGCACATGTGGCGGCGCGTTGCGCGAAGGCATGCGCGCGGACTGGCCGCGCGCGCAAGTAGGTACGAGGCGATATAACGTGATTCGTACGTCTCTTACAAACGAGTGAAGCAAACACAGCCGAGCCGCGCATGTACGTAAGATACAAGCGGAAACAACGAGCCGCGCACTTACTTGCTGCGAGAACGCATATGGGAGCAGAGAGACGTGGCTGTGACGTGGCTGGGACTGACGTGACTGTAACCTGACATGGCGTGATGTGGCGTTACTTAGGCGGCCTCAATCACTTAGTAGCGTACTTACGCGTCGCGAGAAGGCATAACGCGACGGCGACGGAGAAGAACACGAATCGCCTCATGGTGGCGCGCGCGAAACGTTGATTCGAGGCGCCCAATTTCGAGTCGAAGACTTCTGATTTGAAGTTCGATCCAGAGTTTTTTGACAATTAGTTGCGCGCTCGCAACGAAGCGCCAGACGCGTAATTGGATATAGTTTTTCTGGTAGCTGAAGATCGCCTGGGACCCCCCCCGGACGGTTCGAATCGGGTATTTGTGAATGGTTGCGCGCACCCGGAATGAACTGCCAAAAACGCGAATAACGGGAGAGTTGTCGAAGAGTGGTGTGACTAGCGGTAGGATGTGTGCTGTGTGGCGCGGCGGTGTGTGTTGATGAATGTGGCAGCGCAGCAAGATTGTGTGACAGTCTGACAGAGTGAAGCAAAGAAACGAGATAAGAGGTTTGCCGTTTTACAGTGACTCGTTTTACGGCTCATGAAATGACGACACACCCTGGAAGGGACCTGGTACAACCACAGGGCAAATCTGGTAGCATGTTCAAGGGACGGATGGTGCGCCACACACAGAGGGAATGCGTGGTTGACGGATGGGATGGGGTTAGGTGGGGTGGGTTGGGCGTGACGCGCGAAAGTGCGGCGGTATCTTTCAGCCAATGAACGACAGGTGCATTGGGTAGCCTCCGTTCTCGTTCGGTTGGCGGCTCGAGCTTTACCCAGCCTTGGCCGCAGCTAGGGAGGGGTAGGTGTGGGTTTGTGTAGGGGGTGCCCCCCAAGTGAAACAGCGGGCTTGAGCGAGGCTTGGCTCGTTCGGGTATGATTCGGAGAATCGGGACGGATTACACGTTCAGGAGGAGGCTTGGTCCGCCGCGAGGAAGTCAGTCGCTGCGCCCGTAGCTTGACTCCGCTCCGCCCGCAAGGGCAGAGAAGGGAAGACTGCTCGTCACCTCCTCTGGGAATACTGTATCAATGCCAGCCTTCCCCCCTAGCTCTTCCCCCTCGAAACCCCGAACCCCCTCACTTCATTCTTTGCAGCAATGCTGTCGAATCAACTGTCGATGTTTGGAAGAGTAGGTTCGAGATCGAAAAGGCGGCGGGCGCTTCGGGTTCCTCCAAAAGCATATTCCCCAACTAGGCAAGCTTTGGCGCCCGTACGTCTGGGATGGTTCCTCCTCTGATTGGCTGTCTCAAGCTTCGGAAGCTTCACCAAGCTTTGCCGAGGCAGTAACGTACCGAGCTGAACCTCCTTAAAGTTGATTGAAAATAGATGACCGAAAATCGTTCCCAGCTTTCGGTAACGAACGATTGGGCAAGGGAAATCGCGAACCGAACCGAAATTGTTGCCTAGCAAGTGGGACATTGTACACGCTGGATCACCCATTTGCAAATAAAGTCTCAAATAAAAACTGCCGTTTTTCAGCCCTTCTCGAAGCAGAAGACTCCCGAACCGATTTTCAGCCCCTGCCCTGATCCACGGCTCCGTAAGTTGCAGAACATCCGCGATGGAGGCGTGGCGAGAGTATTCGCTCCACGGCATCAAACGAAACACTTCATCTTGATGCCGTAGATTCTGTAGCTCTCAAATACAGAGAATGTCGCTGTACAGAGTGTTCTACAGAAACATCTCATCACTATAATAAACAGAATCACACCATACATACACATTATATAGCCACCATACTTTGTGCTATTCTTCCAGGCTACAACAGCTTCAATCTCAGTTCCCGCGCCCGAGCCTCTGAATCCTCCTCTTCAAGAAGTTAGCCACTTTATTTGCAAGGGTCACCTTCTCGGAAACAAACTGGCCGCGGGCAGTGCCGTCCGGGTTTTCAGGTGTTGCAAGGAGCCCATAGTAACCATCCGGAGCATCCATCATGGCATCTACCACCTGCTTGTATGTATTCCCGTTAGCAGCAGTCCTCGTACCCACATTATACCAAATTCCCGTAAATGCATATATGTAACCGACAACACCAGGATCCATCTGTGGCAACCCCTGAGATTGGAGGGCGAGATTGAACACCACTGCTCCCTGCTCCGTCAGATTCTTCCACGTGGCATCAGATCCGAAGTCCAAGGCCACGTCACCTGTCTCCCCCGCGAACCCAGTGTTTACGGTAAGTGCAGTTTGGTAACCTGGGCTAGGCATGCGAACAGCAACAGCGTAGCGAATATGATAGTCGTTCCTGATCCTGGAAAATCCCAAAACCGCGGGGAAACAGAGGAGATAAAAGCAATGAGAAGCGGGAATATAATCAGGTGGGATGAGAGCGCACAGCACCATGTGGCTCCGGCTCGTATAGTACTGAGATGGTAAAAGTTGAGTGGCATTCATTGAAACACAATCATTGAACAGCAGTGGTGTTCACAACAGGGACAGAAAGTGAGAGAGATTCACAAGGGGGATGAATGAATAACTAGGACGCGGATTCTATATCAGTAAAAGATGCGGCACGAGAATGATGGATGAGCTTGTAAAATTACACCCTTCCACCCTGACACCTTCGCGTGTGCGAATTCGAGTGGTGGTTCGAGTTCCAATGCGAGTGCGAATATTACTTGAGGATGCCGAAGGTGAGGACTCCAGCAGTCGTTGGATCGCCGCTGAGCTCCGAACCATCCATGGCTGCCGCCAACCCAGCTGCAAGGACGGCCACGATCCAGTTCCGATATTAAAGAAGAGAAAAAGGGGAAATGTATAAAATGGAAGTTTGAATGAACTGTGATTGTCAAAGAGCTCGTGAATTCTGAAATAGAATGCGCCAAGAGCTTGTAAGCGTCCATCAGTTGCTGATCGTACAACGAATGTGTTCAAGCCGCTTTTTTATTAGATAGATGAAAAATAAAATAAAAAAATCGAAGCGTACCATACGGATATCCAATTCCCTTGGAAAATCTGTCTTGAATCCAACCGCTCACGCTCGCCAGCGCTCTTCGTTGCGCCACAAGGGGGCTGTCCGCGACTGTCGCTGCGGCTCCAGGGCGTGTTGCATGGCATGCTGGGTGAAAACAAAAACCAGGAAGAACAATAAAATCGTTAGAGAACTCGATGCAAACTCGGTTTAACGTTGATAGAACGCGATGCTTGCGTTTGGTGCTCGCGTTCTCGAGCTTACATGACACAAGTAGGAGAGCAGCCACCACCAGTGAGGTTACGGCAGGCCGGAGAGTCATCATCATTTTCCTCGTAGCGATAGCAAAAAGAAATGCTTGAAAGTGGCAGCAAAATGCAACTCGCAGGCCTCGTGCATTCCCTCTCTGCCCTTCACTTAGGAGTCTAGATTCAGACGCGCACGAAATCTTCTCAGCCAAGTGATGAGAATTTGAAGGTCGTCGAGTTGCTTATGTAGTAGCATCATGAGGAGCGTTGCGAGGAAAGCATTAGGTTGTGAGGAAGGGGAACGACAGAAGGGGTCCCGATCGGTGACATTTTGGTGGCGCGACCTCACGTTACCATCTTTGCGACAAATTCACTACCGTACGATGATTTAGAATGGATGCTCAACGTCGTCCGATGTTGTCGAAGCTGACATGAGTGGTTGTCCCAGATGCACAACACGAGCCGCTGTCGCCGACAATGTCTCCATGTTTGTAGGCTTGCTGCGCCCCCTAGGTCCAGGCTGGAAATTGCTGTCTTTGCCCAGCATGAAAATGGTTGAATTTCGATCGAGCAATTGCTTCGCTTCATTTTCAAGCAAGGAAGATGCGGTTCGGAGTGGGGATTGGCAAGAGTCGCCAATGTGTGTAACCACCAACACGAGAACTTGAGCTTTGCGCAAACATATCAACTTCGCTATGGTTGCGAGTTCGGCCCCGTTGCGAGACTTTACCCAGTCAACCTATTTGTTTTCGTCTAGAGTGGATAGTCATGCGAAGATCCTAGCGACCCGTGACGAATGCAAATCGACCTGCAGCGTGTTGCACAGCAGATTCGGCATTATCTCTAACTAGCACGTTCTTCTTCGTGCTACCAACAAATGCACCGACCGACTCACTGCCAGTTGGTGTGGTGGATTGCCTTACTTCCGGAGGAGGAATTTGCCTCACGCGGCGTGATGTTTCTATCTTCTGGTCTGCTTCCTCCTCTCAACCACCAGCTCTCCCAGTAAGTACGTAGGAAGAGCCATCGAAATCCTCTTAGTCGCGGCTTCGCGGCTTAGTTTTGGATGTCACGATCATTAAGCTGAGGCGTTCCGAGAACGAGCTGCCTATGGAGGATTCGCACAAAAGGTTAAAGTTTGACATAAGCGCATTCGCATATTTTATTACCACGACGCCAAACATGTCAAGAGATTTGACACAGCCCTCACGCCTATTTCGAATTCAACGACTAACCCTCAGATTCCAGCAGCTCCAGAAAAATCAGACTGTTTTCTATTTTGTTTCAAATGGAAAGCTTGAATCCAAAGAACTGCCCGCGCGTCGCCCCAGTCGCGTGCGCCGCGGAGGTCACCAACCCGTAGTACGAGCCAGCGCCGTCGTTATACATGGCCTCGATAAGATCCTTAAGCGTGCCCGTCGCCGCGGCCTTGGTGCTCGCCTTCTCGTAAATGCCCTCGAAGCTGTAATCGAAGTGGTTCACAAATTGCCGGAAAACCGGGAAAACGGGGTTCCACGTGTCGTTCGTCCAAGTGGCGTCAGCAGTGAAGTCGAATGCGAGCGTTCCGTCCTCGCCCTTTTTCCCCTTAAAAATACCAACGGTTGTCGGGTAACCTGAATCCTTGAGATCGGCTTTGCCATTATAGTATACGTTGTAATCGCCATCTTTCCTGTAAAACAAAGGGTTGAAAATCATCATGTCCTTTCGTACCAGCTTGCGATCAAAACGTACAAAAACGAGGAAAAAAGGCAGGGATATGAACACGAGAAACATTATGTTTTTATAGATTCGAAGCTGTGACTTACGAGAAAATCGACATTCGAATAACTCCATGGTCCTTCTTGTTCCCGCCACTGACTTGACTCCCGCTCATGGGAGCGGCGAGAGTTCCTGAGACGGCCCGGCGACAGTTACGCGTCGAAAGCGGAAGAGACATTCGTTAGAGAAACGTGTGCTCGGAAACAAACCACTCAAGATACCGCAGCGGAAACTGAAATATAGGAGTTAAAGCAGGATTTTGCAGAGTATCTTACCAGAAAATTTCCCCAAAGCGGCGAAGTCTTGCCACGAATACTTGCTTCGGTGACGAAGCTGCCTCCCCGGAACGGCGTTACCTGCACGTCACAAACTGAGATGCGTTACTGGTTGAACGTGTTGTATCACGTCTCGCAACAAAGCATCTGCCCTGTAGCTTAGAAATACCGCGAGAAGTAACGAAATTGCGGAGCTGAGCAGAATACGAGTGAGCTTCATACCATTTGATACGAGGCAGAACAGCGCGGCGCAAAGCAGGAGACGCCTGACTGCCATGGTGTGCTTGCGAAGCGTTGAACTTTGAGACAATGGAGTGCTCAGAATGGAGTGCACTTTTGTTGGAATGGTGGTGAAAGGCTTTCAGATGCGGAAATTATATGGGAAGGAGAGAGCAAGGTGTAGTCGACCCAGCATCGTGTAGACAAGGGGACAGAGGAACCAAGTATGTTGGCGCTTCGGCGAATTGTCTGTTCGTAACTTTGTCGCCCAGCTTCGCATTATCATTGATACGCATCGCAGAGGGTTTTGGTTTCTTGTTGCACCAGAGTGAAAGGCACATTCTGCGGCTCCTCGAGAAAGGTGGTTGTCGGCACCGCAGCCTAGGTTTGAGGTTATAGCTTCAACCGATTAGAACCAGTTGTAACACCCACGTTCGACGACAGGCGAAGACTATTGCGACATTTTCCCCCTGCTCTCCGACCCTGTACATTCGCAAGACTCGGGCCACACTTGTCGCATTTCGCATGTTGCGAGTGTTCCGTACAGATGCCACGACAGCACGACGAAGCCTTGGTTTCTGATTGGCTTACGATTATGACGTCACGACACAGGATCCTCGCCGACAATGGAAAGGCAAGAAGATGGGCTAGTGTCTCAAACTTTTCCTCGCTAGAGCTTCATTCCGGATTCCGTATTAGTACTCAGGCAATTGATGTGTTGTTCATTCAACACAAGAGGTGAGGACAAGTGGAATTTGCTGATCTACTTGAATTAGTGCCATAACTCCACCTCTAGCATGAGAAAGGATACAGTTGAGAAGTGATGGGAAGCAGGGATGTGGCAGGCGCAAAGAGCACTGGTAAGTGAATATATATCATTTTCCCAGAATTCTATGGACTTCCGTTGACGAAACAATTTTCTCCCTGACTCTTCCGCTTGCCATGCCACGCCGAATTTCTTCAGCATCTATCTTCATCCAATCTTCAAACGTCACAAATGGGCACATCCGCTGCTTCAAAAGAGCAACAAGCTCTGACCCTCCTCCTTTGCTAGCATCTGTGTTGAAAGATGTTGACGAAATGAACCCACTTGCTGTTGCGTCTTGTGCAATGCTAGAGACCTGGTTCGGGGAAGTAGACACAAGGGTAAGAATCAGCAAAAAAAGATTGGAGGATGAAATTGCAATAGGGAAATCAGGATGTACCGGTGCTAGGGACGTCACAAGCGATTGAGCAACCAAACAGATTCAGGAGGACATGGAAGTCGGCCTTGGGAGGAGTTGAGGGGACAGGGAGAAGAGAGAGGGACTCAGCAAGGGAGAAGCAGCAGTGAGGCTTCAATTGTGTTTGTAGAACATGGAAACAAACTTCAATTCAAGAGAGGCTCACCGTTTCTTCAGCGTCAATCAGGTTCGTGCCGATGATTCCCGTGGGGCCTCTCTTCAGCCACCTATTTGAGCCAACTCAAAAGCTGTTTTCCAGTGTATTTGTGTAACGCGGGAACGAAGGGCAATGCAAGAGAGAGGCTCGGAGGCTCACCGTTTCGTCAGCGTCAATCAGGTTCGTGCCGATGATTCCTGTGGGGCCTCTCTTCAGCCACCCAACCACATACAGGCCCGGCTCATACCGAGCTTCACTGGAAGGATCGGTTCCACTGGCTTGCAGCACACGGCCCAACTCATTTGGTACCGTGCCTGGATTGGGTTGGAAATAAAGGGGTTTGGGAATAGATGGGTATGGGAAGGGATAGGAGTGATTTTGTGGTGAAAAGGATGGGCAAGGATGGGTGAACCAAAAGGCTGGGGTGGGAAATTGAAGCAGTGGGGTAAAGGAAAATGGTGAAGCAGGGGCGGTGGTAAAGGGAAGTCGACAAGTTGGGGTGGGAAATTGAAGCAGTGGGTGGGGTAAGGGAAAATGGTGAAGCAGGGGCGGTGGTAATCGTGCAAATGATACTTTCCAAGATGCATCGTGCAAGGCATGCTACGGAAACATCTACTATGGAACTCACCACTGCGCTGGTTGAAAGGCAGGCCGGCAATGGGCAGGGAGCGGTAGCCAATGCTCTTAAACACGAGGCTGAGAGGGAGGGTCGGGGGAGGTAGAGGGGAGAGTGCAGTACGGATGGTAGGCCATAAATGGGCAATGGCCGGTAGCCTATGCTCTTGAATACAAGGCTGGGAGAGGGGTTTGCGAGAAGTAAAGAGAAAGTTCAGTACAGATGACAGAGAGCTGGAGGCCGAGAGGAAGAGAGCAGGAGCAGAAGGGAGACAGCAGAGAGCGATGAGAATTATGATCCTAAACAGGTGAAGAGTGAAAAAGGTTGGGTTTGGAAGGAAGATCAGAAGGCGGAATGGGGCAAGGAGGGAGCAAGGGGAATAGAGTGGTGGCCTTGCAGCATCACTCTGTTCCACAAAATTACCTCCACTCTTTTCCTTCGCTCTGGTACCCACCCACAAGTCAGGTCGCTATTTTGTGGAAGTTTTGCAGCATCACTCTGTTCCACAAAGCACCCACTCTTCTTCGCTCTGGTACCCAGCTCTGGTACCCACCCACAAGGCAGCACCACCCACTAGGCAGCACCACCCACAAGGCAGCACCACCCACAAGGCAGCACCACCCACAAGTCAGCACCCACCCACAAGGCAGGTCGCTAGTCTCTCCTGTCCCCACTGCCCTCCTTGGCCCGTCCCTGAAGTCCCCTGCACACACATGCATGCGAACACAGAGCGAGAACAGAAGCAAAAACTTCATCCAGAGAACACACAAACTCGTAGCCAATGCTTCCGTAACAGCAATCTAGCACATATGAAGATGGTAATCGCCCTTCATCCCCACTAAGTACCGTCCATGTACAATCGAATACCCCAAATACAATCCTTCCAGATCCAGAGCCACCCTAAAAAAATAAATGTTGGGACCTACTTGTCAGTGTGATTGAGAACCCTAGATTACCAGCTGCATCAGTACGCAATTCTCATGAGTAAACAGAAGGTCCTATTCCACACATTGACCAGTGCATACATTCTTTTCCAGTCAAGAATGGTGCATAGCAGCACAAAAAGTCCCAGCCCAGGCACTGACTGACCGGTGAGCACATTTTTCTCCAGTCGAATCGCCCCAACATGTCCGTCAGCCTCCCCCTTCCCATCCCCTCCAGGCAGCACAGCCACAGGCGAGCGGAAGAACACAAAGTCCAATCCATGAAAAGTCCTAACCCAGGTACTGACCAGTGAGAACGTTCTTTTCCAGTCGAATCGCCCCAACACGTCCGTTAACCTCCCCCTTCCCATCCCCTCCAGGCATCACAGCAACGGGCGAGCGGAAAAACACAAAGTCCAGCTCACACCGGTCACTGCTGCTGCTGCTGCTGCTGCTGCTGGTGGTAACTGTTGATGATAGCGATGGTGGTGGTGCTGCTGCTTTGGAGAGCAGGTCGAACACGCGGCGGTGGCTGCGACTTGCCTTGAGCTCACTCTGTGAGGGGAGGGACAGAGAAGAGAAGCCGAGGTATCAGTAAGAGAGGAGACAGCAAGGAACAATGAGGAACGGAGAAAAAGAGGAGAGAGGCCAGTGGCTTGGTAAACCAGGGAGGCATGCAGGCAAGGAAAGACTCCTCATTCACAGAAGTTCGCACACATTCTCAATTTGAGTCGACTCAAATGTCACCTCATTCTCACCACCCATTCCTTCCTCACTGCTGATTCCCACCACCTATCCTCACCGTCCCACTTTTGAGTCGACTCAAAACTCACCCCACCACCTATCCTCACCCGTCCCACTTTTGAGTCGACTCAAAACTCACCCCACCACCTATCCCCACACGTCCCACTTTTGAGTCGACTCAAAACTCACCCCACCACCTATCCTCACCCGTCCCACTTTTGAGTCAACTCAAAAGTCACCCCACCACCTATCCTCACCCGTCCCACTAAAGTTGCTTCCTTCCCAGAAACAATGCTTTGTCTCCTACCTCATCCATAGGGGTCAGCGCAAAGTCCTCTTGCCTGAGCGTGACTTGAATGTCATCAAGCTCTGCACAAACATGGCATGGACACAAAGGAAAAAAAAAAGTACAGTTGCATTCAAGAGCAATTGTTGGGTTAGGTGATTTAAGTTTCAAAAAGAAAAAAACAATGGCCACATGCATTCTGCAGAGTGGGTTTTCTGCCTCTGCCAAGAACAATTCATGCACAAAGGAAAAGAAAGCAGTGAACATTGAAAACCGAGCAACATACTTAGCATAAGGAGCATACTCAGCACAGAGAAACATAACTGGCACTAAGCAGCATACTCAGCAAGAATCAACATACTTAGCACTAAGCAATATACTCAGCACAAAGCAACATACTTATCACTAAGCAACATACTTATCACTAAGCAACATACTTATCACTAAGCAACATAATTATCACTAAGCAACATACTTAGCACCTCGCGAACCTCCTTGGCAGTGCAGGCGGCCTGAACCGGACCCCGCCTTCCCACCACATGCACTCGCCTATCAGACGCGAAAAGAGGGAGGAAGGGAGGGGGGGTTGAGAAGCAGCAAGGAAGTGGGTGGGGGGCAGGGGGAAGAAGGGGAGCGCGTCGAAATGAGTTGAATGAGAAGAGTTGAAGAGGGGATGGACAATCAGGAAATAAATTAAATGTCACGCCTGACGAAAATCGCGAACCGGGTATACACTCTGCCTTGCCTGATCACGTGTATTTGGCAGAGCCTTTAGCACGTGTCTCTCGTGTGTGCCTCAGGAATCAGTGAGGAGGAACACAATAGGTGCCTATCTGACTTGGCTCCTCGCCAATGCCTCCAGTGCATGCTCTGCAATGTCTGATGGCGGTTGAATTGAACCTTCATTGACCGATGATTCTTGCACAGGAATAGAAAGCTCACCGCTGCTCACCTCACTTGGCTGCTCGCCAGTGCCTCCAGCACATGCTCTGCAATGTCTGATGGCGGTTGAACCTTCATTGACCGTTGAGTCGTATGCACAGGAATATAAAAGCTCACTGCTGCTCATGGCTGCTCACCTCACTTGGCTGCTCGCCAATGCCTCCAGCAGATGTTCTGCAATGTCGGTGGGTCAAAGCCATCAGGGACGAATGATTCTTGCACGTAAATAGAAAGCTCACCGCTGCACATGGCTGCTGACCTGACTTGGCTGCTCGCCAGTGCCTCCAGTGCATGCTCTGAAATGTCTGCAGTCCATCAAAGCCCTTCGTGGCACACATGCACCTGGCCGCGCAGGCATAGAAGCTCACCGCTGCTCACCTGACTCGGCTGCTCGCCAGTGCCTCCAGTGCATGCTCTGCAATGTCTGCAGTCCATCAAAGCCCTTCGTGGCACACATGCACCTGGCCGCGCAGGCATAGAAGCTCACCGCTGCTCACCTGACTCGGCTGCTCGCCAGTGCCTCCAGTGCATGCTCTGCAATGTCTGCAGTCCATCAAAGCCCTTCGTGGCACACATGCACCTGGCCGCGCAGGCATAGAAGCTCACCGCTGCTCACCAGTGCCTCCAGTGCATGCTCTGCAATGTCTGCAGTCCATCAAAGCCCTTCGTGGCACACATGCACCTGGCCGCGCAGGCATAGAAGCTCACCGCTGCTCACCTGACTCGGCTGCTCGCCAGTGCCTCCAGTGCATGCTCTGCAATGTCTGCAGTCCATCAAAGCCCTTCGTGGCACACATGCACCTGGCCGCGCAGGCATAGAAGCTCACCGCTGCTCACCTGACTCGGCTGCTCGCCAGTGCCTCCAGTGCATGCTCTGCAATGTCTGCAGTCCATCAAAGCCCTTCGTGGCACACATGCACCTGGCCGCGCAGGCATAGAAGCTCACCGCTGCTCACCAGTGCCTCCAGTGCATGCTCTGCAATGTCTGCAGTCCATCAAAGCCCTTCGTGGCACACATGCACCTGGCCGCGCAGGCATAGAAGCTCACCGCTGCTCACCAGTGCCTCCAGTGCATGCTCTGCAATGTCTGCAGTCCATCAAAGCCCTTCGTGGCACACATGCACCTGGCCGCGCAGGCATAGAAGCTCACTGCCGCTCACCTGACTCGGCTGCTCGCCAGTGCCTCCAGTGCGTGCTCTGCAATGTCGGTGGGTTGAAGCTCGCACGGCCATCGGAGCAGCACTCTTGCCACGTCCAGAGCCACGTTTCCCTGCAGGTGACAGTGCAATGGATGGGGGAATGGGGGAAGTGACGTGGTGAGAGGATGTGGTTGTTGCAAGAAGAGGTCACTCAGAAGGTCTCAAAGAGCACCACTCTTGCCACGTCCAGACAGAGCCACGCCCTCTCTTTAGGGGCGCCTCTCTCTAGGGGCGCCTCTCTGTAGGGGCGCCTCTCTCTAGGGGCGCCTCTCTGTAGGGGCGCCTCTCTGTAGGGGCGCCTCTCTCTAGTGCGATGGTGAAATGGTGCGATGGTGTGATGGTGTGATGGTGCGATTGGGAGAGGACATAGAGGTAGGAAGGACTCGATGTTTTTTTTTTTTAAGGTATTTGATATGTACACCGATAGAGCAAGCATACATAAGCAATAACAGTCTTAATTGTGCATGAGTGGTGGCCACGTGGCTAACCCAGGTGCGGCCTCTAAGGAGGTTGGCGAGTCATCCTTGGTGCGAGCCAGATATTTGTGAAGGCATTCTTCCACGTCCACGACTTGCAGTTTTTGTCCGAAACAGTAGCTTATTCTCCCTCTCTATCGTGCGGCGAAATTTCTCCTCTTGCTGTGTACCCTGAAGCTTCCTCCACTGTGCGTCCCTCGACCTCGTAACGGAAGAACTCGATGTGAAAAAGGAGTGGTTGCTCAGAAGACCATCCGAGCAGAGCAGCATACAACGTTTGGAGCAACTTCGGCAAACGGTAGAGAAGAAAGAGAGAGAAGAAAAATCACATACCTGGCCAACGACAACGGCGGTGTCAGTAGAGGTGAGGTCCACTGGAAGATTGGCGTAGTCGGGATGGCCGTTGTACCACCACACGAACTCCCTGGCAGAGAAGACTCCTCTCAGGTGCTGGAGTGTGGAGGAAGGAAAAGAGGAACAATATGTGGACAGTTGGAGGGGAGGTAAAAATTTTGGAAGAGCAGAGAGGAGAGAAGAGGCTGGAAGGAAGGAGAGGAGGCACACCGGCATATGTGGGATTCTTTGGCATGGAATATTCATCCTTCAGGTGCTAAGGAGCGGAGGGAAAAATAGGCGGAAATTTGATAGGGACAAAGATGACATGGTACATCTGACGCAATTCATGCAACTGCTGCTGGTGGTGATGCTGGTGAGGTGAATTTAAAAACTCTCTTAGGAATAAACCCACCAATTTCCTCACCTCCCCAGGCATGTTGCGATCTCGATTGCCCTCTCCTCCATACGCCAGGTTCACACTGGTTCATCCAACGCAGCTCATGCAACGTCAATGCTGCGTGGTGGTGGTGATGGTGGTGGTGAGCTGGATATTGAACATTCCCAAGACCAGAAACTTCCCTTTCCTCACCTCCCCAGGCACGTTGAGATCGCGATCGCCCTCTGCTCCATATGCCAGGATGACAGCATGGTACATCTGACGCAACTCATGCAACGTCACAGCTGCTGCTGGTGATGGTGAAGCTGAAGATGGTGACGGGTCTGATGCTGACGTGGAGGATGATGGTGCTGACGTGTACGCCACAGGGCCGACCAGTACATTGCCAAAGTATTGGCAGCGGGGATTTTGGGCCACACGGGTGAACTGGTTGATCACATTCTGGTGGAAGACACACAAGAAGGAAACGAGTACATTACATATTAGCACTTTATGAAACAAGAACATATGATTTCGCTAAAACATTTTGCACCATCTCAAAAGTTTGCACATCCTGATCATCATGAGGTGAGTCACATTCTCATGCGAGATGGTAAACGAAACTGAAACACCATAGCAAGAAGCCAGGGTATCATGACAGAATGCTGACCTAAAAATATTATTCACGAACAATCAGGTTGGTTTCCAGCCATTGCTGCTTGCCGTTGGCTACTCACCTTGGTTTCAGGGTGGTCTGGAGCAACTCCCGTGCGCACCAGGCCGAAGGGAGAGGGCAGCCTTTTTAATCGACTCAAAAATCAAATCTGCCTGCACTTGGCCTCGCACCTTGGTTTCAGGGTGGTCTGGAGCAACTCCCGTGCGCACCAGGCCGAAGGGCGAGGGTAGCCTTTCCACTATGTCCACCCGTGCCGTGTCAAACCGTTTCAGGAGCTGCAAGAGTCGGATCAGATGAGAGAGTAGAGCATAGAGCAAGGGTCAGGGAAGTCACTTCAAGTTGAAGAGCCAGAGTGAGGAATGGAGGTTTCTGTGTCGCTTACAGCTTGAATGGATTTCACACGTCTTCAGGTAACATTAGACATCTGACACAGCGAACCTGGTCCTGTTCCTGCTTTCACGCATTCCCCTTTCCACCTTTGTTTACCTCTCGAATAACACCCCCCTTTATCGCTTCGCGTACCTTCTCTGCAGTATAAAAACCAGCTGGGCCGCTCCCCACTATACAGAAGTGCAACGGCTTGTCACTGACACCAGTGGTTGTAATGGAACGCCTGCTACTGAGTACATGATGGGGAGTTAACCTAGAAAAAACACCATCGCGGTAGCCTGTTGCTAGCCAAGTACCGTTTCTCGCAAGAACGTTCCGCCAGGCAGCGCTTAGAACGGAATCGGACGGAAGATTTGAACCGGAGATAGCACCTAATCGACCGTCACACTGTTTGACGCTTTCACGCGCACTAAACGCCGCATTATGCGCTTGACCGAGACTCGCGTCGTCGGCAAACGAATAGAACGAGGGAGAACAGAGCCGTCTGAGGGTAGGGCTAGGCAATGCCACATTTGGGAGTACGCACTGCCGTGCTGCGAGCCTGGCCGAACGACAATGGCGGAAGCCGTGTCGATGCATACCGCTGCCAGCGAAGAGAAGCCGTTTTACGAAGTATATTGCGTTAAAAATAGTTCAGCAGGATATGGGAGATTAGCATCCTTGCTGGAGGGAATCTGGCCCGGAGGAGCCACAACTCAGGGAGGAAATTTGAGTTGGCTGTGAGGCAGGGAATGTGCTGCAAGTATTTGTGTCAGGCGCGGAACGAAGGGGAAAGGGAGAAAGGGAGGCGGACAGAGAAGGGGGAAAGGAGAAGGCGGAAAGGGGAGATGAAATCGAGGGTTGGGGGAAATTCCCTGGAAACGATAACGTCAGCGAAACGACATCAATGAAAACCTCTTTATAGTATGCGTCGAGTACCTCCCTAGCGTCGTACCTTTTTTGTTTCCGTAAAAATATTTCATGTATGCAACTTTTGTGGACCTTTGTTCGAGCAGGTATGTTCGAGCTGCAACGCACTACATCACACTATACCAGGCCGTACCGTGATGAACCTTGAAAAAAATGTTATTCGAACAGCATGTGCTGGTCAATGTGGCATGTCTCCTAGCGGAAGGGGCTGTTTATTTCAGCAGAATTGCGCAGAGATGTGTGAAGAGCGACTTGACAGCTCCTTCTGACAGCCGCACCGAGGGAGTCTGCTCGCCTTGAGCTAGTCTGCTCAGCTCTTTTTGTCGGAGGCTCTCATTCCTTTAGTTACTGCATCTCTGATTTGTTAGCTTGAGATAGCGCTAGAACGACCAGGCGTTCTTAGTCGTACTGCTAATTCCCTCGTCTGCTTCTGACATGGCTGGCTCTTACGCCTCTCTCCTCTCTCTCAGTATTGTAATTGCGGCACTTGTTTTGGTCCAAGCCGGAGATCGCAACACCGTATACGATCCATGCAAGGATGCTGATCCTGTCCAGAAGGGCGATGGATTCTCCTTAGCAATTGGCTTCGGTGGAATGTCAGCGACATGGAATAAATCCTCTCCGTGCTTTGCCGAGACTCTGCAGGTATCAGGAATATCATGCGACAGGGTATATATCTTCAAACCAGCTTCTTTTCAAATACTGTTGTTACGCTAGGTATGGAGTTAAAAACAGTGTCCGCGCAGATATTACCTCCAGGCGTGGAAGTGGCCGTGTTTCGACCTAAAGTCGATGAGCTTTCTCTTCTGAGAATTAACAACGTTAGCATGGCAAGAATCAACACGACTGTAAGTGGTAAAACGCAGAATTCATGCTCGCATTTGCATTCCTAACCCTTTTCGAAACGATGCAGTTTGTCAACAGCTCTTTGATTGTATATTCTGGAGCAAAGGGTATCGTGTCTTCTCCTCGACAATTCTTATCCCCACTGGTAACGAATTGACCTACGCAACGCCTAATGATGTTGTAGTTGCCGTTGCTAACTACCAGATTGTCCTGCACTGCCGTGCAGGGACGGCTTCCTTCTCTAATCATTATAATCAATTTTAAAGAAGGCGTTCTTGATTCATTTGTGTGGTAAAAGTCCGAAGTCATTTGCTGCAACGATTTCTTATCTCCTCTGCAAGACATTTGTGAAGTCATCCTTGTGCAGGAAGGACATGGGTTGCTCAGAGTCAACATGCCAGCCTGTGAGCCCGCTGTGTGTGGACAACAGCAATTGCCTTGTTACAGAAGACAAGTGCAGTACCATGAAAACCAGTTCGGATCCTGAACCTTGCCGCCTTGCAGTAAGGGAGCTGTTTTGACTGCTTTTACTACCGTATGATGTCTGCTATTTTTCGCTCGGCTAACATGAGCCACCTTTGACAGATCAACGTGGCCTTCTCTGGAACTGATAAGGATAAGAAGCCATTGCAATCTTGGTACGAGGTTCAAGACCTTCAGGCATACTCCTTGACAGCATTGTATGATTCCGCAAAGAACGACTTTCAAGATGCCGTGGGTGCATCAAGCAATAATCCTGACGAGATCACCAAGGGGTAGATGAAAAGGCATACTGGTTAGCCATGGTTCTTGTGACTGGAGTAAAACCAGTGTTATGGATTTGTGCAATGATTAACCTGTACTGTAACAAGGCTCGACGATGAACGTCGTAAGGGTTGCGTAGAATATTAATACCATACTCAAGATAAACGCAACAAATATGTATTTTTTTTTCAATCCACTTAGGTTTATCTGTACCTTTCTCCCACCCTCTACAGTCGTTTTGTATTATACGTATTGCATTTTCGTCTCTATCTCACACCTAATGCCCAATCATGAGGAATTTTGACTGAAGAATATAAGCATGTACTACATGGTTACTTATGGTGTAGATAAATGATTTAGGACTAATATGGGGTATGTGGGTTTCGTTTTTCACTTTCGCCGCGTTTTGTTGAGCTGACGCAAAATGCACATGAATGACAAATGTTGAACATTGATATGATAGGCTGTAGTGAGTTGCACTCTAGGGGGTACAGTTTCTAGGGTTGCTTATTTGTACCCCATTCGTTTCTATTCCAACTATTCCGTTGCTAACCACTCTTGAGATGGTATCACGAGCAGGACCGTTCCTAGCCCGTTCCTAGCCTAGTGTTCACCCTCCGCGCCCTCCGCGCCTAGCTCGCGCCCTCCGCGCCCTCCGCGCCCTCCGCGCTCAGCTCGCACCTCCGCACCCATTGTGCCTCCGAGCCTAAACCGCGCCACTCCACCCTCCGCGCCTAGCCCGCGCCCTGCCCCTAGCCCGCGCGACGCCCGTAGGCTCTGCCCCAGCCCGTCGCGACGCCCGTAGGCTCTGCCCCAACCCGTCGCGACGCCCGTAGGCTCTGCCCCAGCCCGTCGCGACGCCCGTAGGCTCTGCCCCAGCCCGTCCCGACGCCCGTAGGCTCTGCCCCAGCCCGTCGCGACGCCCGTAGGCTCTGCCCCAGCCCGTCGCGACGCCCGTAGGCTCTGCCCCAGCCCGTCGCGACGCCCGTAGGCTCTGCCCCAGCCCGTCGCGACGCCCGTAGGCTCTGCCCCAGCCCGTCGCGACGCCCGTAGGCTCTGCCCCAGCCCGTCGCGGCGCCCGTGCGCCCTGCCCGTTGCAGCAGCAGCAGCCACAGCAGCACCAGCCACAGCAGGGACAGCAGCAGCAGCTGGGACAGCAGCAGCAGCAGGCACCGCAGCAGTTCCAGCAGTGGGGGCCCCCGCTGCAGTGGGGTCCGCAGCAGCACTGGGGTCCCCCGCCGCAGTGGGGTCCGGGAGGCCCTGGGAGCACCGGCCGCAGCAGCAGCTCTTCCAGCTGGGCCCCTCGCCCCCCTCGCCGTGACGCTGGCCCCTGCACCCACTGGTGCGTCACCGGGCCGGGCAGCCCCTGTCTCTGTGGTCGCGACGACCACTCTGCCGCGCGGTGCTTCCGCCGCCTCGACGACCTCTACCGGGCTCGTTGGGGCCTTCTGGCGGTCACGCCTCGCTGGTCTCGTCTGTTAGCCCGTAAGATTGATGTCTTTGATCTGTCCATGGACGACGCGCGTCAGCATGCTTTGTATGTTGATGCTGACTTTACTGCTGATGGATCTGTGTGCTCGCGTGTTCGTAGGTTAGCCTGCTTGCCTCCTGCTAGTGTAGCCTTGTGCCTGTCTAGCTTAGGTGCTTGTGTTGCTGCTCTAGGTGCTTGTGTAGTGACTGGGTCTGGTGACCCTCCGGCTGAGGCCTCTCTGTCGTTCACGCTGGACTCGGGCGCGTCTCAGTGTTTCTTTCGCGACCACACGACCCTTACGCCACTCCTCACACCTGTGTCGGTGGCTCTGGCTGATCCTACCTCTGGACCAGCTGTTGCGCATAGCTCCACCACCCTCCCGTGCCCTGTGGTCCCCTCTGGTGTCCTGCGCGGCCTCCATATCCCCTCGTTCACTCGGAACTTGGTGGGTGTTGGATACCTCCAGGACAGGGGGATCACGGTTACCTTCGTGGGGGGTGGGCGGACTGCAGTCTGTACAGACGCTACCACAGGTGCTGTTCTGGCCACGTTCACCAGGGAGCCCCGCTCCGGTCTCTACGTCCTCCACACCGAGCGCTCCCCGGTCGCGTCCTCCCCTCAGGTCGTTGCGTCCCCTCCGGCCCAGGTCCCCAGTCCAGTTGCTGTGTCTAGCTAGGTAGTAGTGTCCGGTCCGGTCGCTGTGTCCAGTCCAGTCGCTGCGTCTTGCTCCTGTTGCTCTCTCACCCACCGCACCGTCCTGTGGCACCACCGCCTTGGCCACCCGTCGCTCCCTCGCCTACGTGGCATGCTCAGTCAGGGACTTGTCTCAGGTCTCCCACGCACCTTCCCGTCGCTCCCTCTCTCGCCTGCCCCTCCTTGCTCTCCGTGCGTCGCCGGTCGCTTACGCGCCACTCCCCACTCCTCCTCCCTTCGTCCGGCCACCGCTCCCTTCGAGACTCTCCACTTGGACGTCTGGGGCCCTGCCCCGACGCAGGGGTCTGGGAGGGAGCGTTACTTTCTGGTGGTCGTCGACGACTTCTCCAGGTACACCACAGTGTTCCCTCTTGCGAAGAAGTCCGAGGTGACTGCTACGCTGATCAGGTGGCTTCTAGCCACTGAGGGCACTCGTGGTCGTCGAGTCAGTTGTCTCCACTCCGACCGTGGGGGCGAGTTTCGCTCCGGCATTCTCGGCGGATTCTGCGGCGAACAGGGCATCACCCAGTCCTGGACGCTGTCAGAGTCCCCACAGCAGAATGGGGTTGCTGAGCGCCGCATAGGCTTGGTCATGGACATCGCCCGCACGTCCATGATCCATGCCCTTGCGCCCCATTTTCTGTGGCCCCACGCGGTTCGCTACGCCGCACACCAGCTGAACCTCCAGCCGCGTGTCTCGCGGCCCGAGGTTTCACCGACCAGTCTTTGGACTGGTTCCCCTGGTGTCGGGTCGGCCTTTCGAGGGTGGGGCTGCCTTGCACTTGTTCGCGACACCTCCGCGGACAAGCTCTCGGCACGCGCCGTCCCCTGTGTCTTCCTTGGTTTCCCAGTGGACTCTGCCGACTGGTCCTTTTACCACCCTCCCCTCCACCAGTTCCTCGACTCCCGTGACGTCCGGTTTGACGAGTCCGTGTCCTACTACACCCGGTACCCCTGTCGAGGTCTCCCGGTACCCCTCCCCCTCTTTTCCTCGCACCCTCTCCTCCTCCTGCTCCCGCTCCTCCAGTACCCCCGCCCCCCCCTGGTCCTGCCCCGTCTGGTGTGTCCCACGTTACCCCTCTACCCTCGGTCGCGCGTCAGGTAGCGTCTCCCTCCCCGCAGTCCTCCTCACAGTCCCCTCAGCAGCCTTCGGCACTTCCGCGACAGGTTACTGTGGACTCGGTTGGTGTTGGAGCTGGAGGTGCAGCCACTGGCGGTGCTCGGTCTGGGGGTACTCGGTCGCGGGGTGCTGGAGCTGGAGGTGCTGGCGCAGGTGGCGCTAGCTCTGGGGGTGCTGGAGCTGGAGGTGCTGGCGCAGGTGGCGCTAGCTCTGGGGGTGCTGGAGCTGGAGGTGCTGGCACTGGTGGTGCTAGTTCTGGGGGTGCAGGAGCTGGAGGTGCTGGCACTGGCGGTGCTAGTTCTGGGGGTGCTGGAGTTGGAGGTCCGGGCACTGGAGGTGCTGGTTCTGGGGGTGCTGAGTCTGAGGAGTCTGACCCTGGTTCCGCGGAGTCCACTCCGCCTCCCCACCGCCACGACACACGACTCCAGGCTGCCCGCCGGCGTGAGCGTGAGGAGCAGGAGCGGTTGGAGAGGGAGCGGCAGGAGCTGCGGGTGCTGGACCTTCTGGAGCAGCAGCGGCAGCAGCAGCAGCAGCAGCAGCAGCAGCAGCCGCAGTAGCAGCCGCAGCAGCAGCAGCCGCAGCAGCAGCAGCCGCAGCCGCAGCCCCCGCCGCAGCAGCAGCAGCCGCAGCCACCACCGCAGCTTCCTCTGGAGCGGCGGTTGTTCCCACCTGTGAGTGGCCTGCGGGCCCTTGGTTTTTCCTCCTCTCCTCCTGTCCGCTCCCAGTCTCCTCCTGTGTTTGTTCCTCCGTTGCCTCCTCCTGACGACCGTCCGGCGGTCTGGTCTTCTCCTCCTCCCCAGTCTCCTCCTCCTTCGGTCCGTCGCGACTTGGTCACTCGTTGTCCTCCGCGTGCTCGTCACTCGTCCCCTGTTACCGACCTCCACACTGCCCTCCTTTGTGCGTCTCGTCGTCGTTCTCCTTCTCCTGTGTCCGTTCTCCCGTCTCCTCCTCCGTCCTCTCTCCCAGCCCTCCCCACTCCTATCACTGACTACTACCGCACTGTTCGTCCTGTTGCCGCACGTGTCCTCGCCACTCTTGTCACCGACTCTCGTTTCCCTCCGTCGTCGGTCTCTGCTCTTACTGCCGCTGACGCTGAGTTTGCTGCCGCCAGCCGCCTTGACTACGCCACCCGTGTGGTGCCAGCTCCTCCCTACCGTCCTCTGTCCGTCGGGGGTGGGTTTGCCCTTGGCTGTGACGTCCTAGAGGACAGAGAGTCTGAGCTGGAACACTGGGCAGCCGCTTCTCCCTCTGTGTGTGCCATGCTGCTCTCCCCTGAGGGAGACCCCGACGCCCTTGACATACCGACTCCTCGCACTTACCGCGAGGCAGTGTCAGGGGCGTGGGCCTCTCAGTGGAAAGCGGCTATGGACTCAGAGTTGGCGTCTTGGAGATCCACAGGCACCTACGTCGACGCAGTTCCCCCTCCCAGGGCGAACGTAGTCGATGGCATGTGGCTCTTCAAGGTGAAGCGGCCGCCTGGAGCACCGCCGGTGTTCAAGGCGCGCTACGTGGCTAGTGGCTTCAGTCAGCGTGAGGGAGTTGACTTCTTCCAGACCTTCGCCCCGACCGCGAAGATGACTACTCTTCGGGTGTTACTCCACATAGCAGCGCAGCGAGACTACGAGCTGCACTCCCTCGACTTCTCCACTGCGTTCCTCCAGGGCCGACTGCACGAGGAGATCTGGCTGCGCCGTCCTCCTGGCTTCACTGACTCCTTCCCACGTGGGACCC